GAGCAGAACTAACGTGAATAGACAGTAGGAGTCCTTTAGCTCGGTGGTTAGAGCACTCGCTTCAGAAGTGAGAGACCTGGGTTTGATTCTCGGCAGGGCCAACCCTTGGGCAAGTTCCCTTACTCCACACGCCTGATAATAATCCCTCAAGAAAGAAGAACAAGAATAATTTGGTCACTCAATTCACGACTGTTTGTGGGACACTGCAGTGCGCAATTGGTTGCCACATTTTGCCCATAAAATATGCAGTCAATTCACTTCACAGTATATTCTGTGAAGCGCTCTGAGATGTCTAGAAGACGTGAAAAGCGCTATGTTAAATGCAAGGATTATTATTATTTATTATAGACAGTCACTTCCCCTGTTTCCTTTACCCAGTTTCAACTCCCAGATCCGAAGAACCATTAGTTTCCCTAATGATGTTATCAGTGTTCTCTATTTATTCAACAACAATCAAAATATGTAATAACAAAAGCAGATATAAACGGAAACAAGGATATTAGAGTTCATCACTATTCTGTGCTTGGGATTAACTTTTTTAACAGAATGCCGATGAAAGAGACTTGTTCCTTAATTCCTGCCCTAATTTAGCAACCGTATGCAGTGAACCAGGATCTGAAGCAGCAAAACAGGCTGAAATTAATTATTAAAGTACTAAACTGCATCTTTTGGAGTCAAATGTGACCGAGATATTTATGCTTTTAATCAATTATTTAAAAAGTGGTTCCACAGAGGATTGCAAATTCAAATCAGTTTCTATCCAAAGTATTATATTTGCACTCTTGTTGGGTTCAGTAATTCGCTAGGTTGCCAACAAAAGAGGAGAACTCATCGAAAGGATTTATGCCAAGAAAGGTTTGGCCATACATAAATCTGTCCAGAATGGCAGAGGAACTTAATATCATGATGATACCTGAGTATTTTTTGTACAATTTGTTTAAAAAAAGGATCTGATGACTGTTCAGGATTAATTCCAGGGATCTGTTAGAAGTTGGCTCAATGACCTTTACTCATTCTGTAATTTTATCAGTTCTTACAAGAAGGAAACAAGCTGTTGAAATGTTGACTTCATAGCACCATCTGTTAGAGAGAGGTTCATGTTTTCTCAGCAAATGCCAAATGTAAAAAGCATCAGCTTGTTAAATAGTGAACATAATATAAAATGATACTGTTCATAAGACAGGTGGAATATTGAAATAATTAGTATATCAATAGTACTGAACATGATTAAATATTATCAATATAATAATCAATTAAGTGAATTTGCTGGAATTGACCTGCTGTCAATTATGCACGTTCAATAAACTGTACATTATAAAAGAAGCTATACCCAGCCCTCTAGGAATAATTGAAGTATTTCAAACCATCTTCACTGCTATACTGAACCAATAGCTCAACCCAAGAAATGACTTTCTTGGACCGGAAAATAAAAAGTTTGACCCTTCGACTTAAATGAACTAAAAAGTCAAGAGATGATAATCAAACATTAGTGTTGAGAAAAAGGCTTTGTAGCTTTGCAGTCCTTCTGCACGAAGCAGTATGTGTCAAGTTAGCTATTGATCACTATGGAAACCTCTGTTTGCTGTGGAGTAAAGCTTCGAGTACTTAAGTATTTGGTTATAAATCCTCCATTTATTCTCGGCAGACATTTGTTACAGATTTCAACAGTGACTTGCAAACATGTTTTGGAATAAGACTGCATTTCAATAAGGATTATTTTATCCTTTCCCTGCTCTTTCTTAATAAGACATTTCCCTTCCACTTGTAAATCCCTGGATCAAAGGAGTAGACAACAATATAATTGCTTGCAAAACGCAAATCATGTTTCGTGATCCAACCACTAAGCACATCTTTCCCTCCCCTCCCTTCTGCTGGGGACCTTACAGCGCTCTGGGCTCAATATTGATTTCAACAGTTTCAGACCATAACAGCTCACCTTCCCCCTCTTTTGTGACCATTACCCACATCATCTGGGTCCCAGACACACCTTTTCTCTCTCTGGTCTGCTTATTTTGTTGTATTCCCCCCCCACCCCACCCATCCCTTTGTTTTGCATTATTGGTGTATTGCATTCCAGGCAGAGGGCGAAACCTTGGGCAAGTTTCCTTACTCCACACAGAGCCTAATAATAATCCCTCCAAAAACCAAAAACAATAATAAATTGGTCATTTTCAATCAACGACTGTTTGTGGGACATTGCTGTGCGCAATTGGCTGCCGCGTTCGCCCACAAATATACAGTCAATTCATTTTACAGTGTGTTCTGTGAAGCGCTTTGGGACGTCCTCCCGACGTGAAAAGCGCTATATCAAATGCAAGGATTATTATTATTATTATTATTATATTATTGACACCTCCATTCCCCTGCTTGGTTGTAATCTTCCCCCCTCCCCTTTGTTTTGCATCATTAACACCTCTTTAACCCATCATCCACTGCCCACTACCCCATTTTCTCCTTTGTCTTCCTTGCACTGTCTCTCCGCTCTCTGTTAGCCCTTGAAAGCCTCTCCCTCCCAACGTGCCCCAGTTCTGACGAAGGGTCGTGGACCCGAAACATTGACTCACTTTCCTTTCTCCATAGGTGTTGCCTGACCTGCTGAGTGTTCCCAGCGACTTCTGTTTTTGTTGTTGAATATAATTGCTTGGCCTGTATCAATATTATTTTGAAATATGACAAAATGGTGCTTCTTCATTTAGTCTGAGGGAATGTACCAATCTGAGAATTTATGTTCTACCTCTCCATGCCTTAAAATAAACCAACATCTTTAGTCATGGAGTGGAGTGAAAGACGGAAACCATTCTCAAAAAATAACAATTCTCTATTTAGAATCAGTTGAAATTATTTATTTGTGACTCATTTTACAGGAGACTATTGCCATGTTTGCAGTTATTTTCCAAGTTGTTTAGGCCCATAATAATCAGTTTCATATTTATTCGTTGGCCTTTTTAACCATGTGTCTATCTGTTTTAATAATGCTGTTTTTTTTTCTTTCGCTGGTTGTTTCCCCCACACTGTACACCACCCACTACCAGAGTATTCTTGGACCTTTATCTGTACTGTTGTAACTGTTGTAACATAATCGTCGAATATGCACCAGAGCAGCTTGCCGATCTATTTCCATCCACTTATCCCTCAGTTTTCCCTGTGGAAGCTAGGAGCTCAGTGGTGTGGGCATGTGAGCCCAATTCCCATTGCTCTGGTGGCAGAAAACACCAGTACACATTGAGTGTCTCCATGGTACCTCACCTCATACTTTCATGCAAGCCAGATTTAATAGAGTAGATTCTACACTGTACACTTTGGCAGAAATTCTTTTGCAACCACATCAATGCCTTTGAACATGTTATTTTTCTGTGAAATCAAAAAATTGAAGCCTGTAAGCACTTAAAATGGTTATCTCACTATTTTATTTATGAAATTGGTGCAAAGGAATTTACGTGCTGCCTTAAATGAACAAGAACTTTGAAAAGTACTGTATTGTTTTAACCCAACTTTGTTTAGCAAGGCAAAGGAATGTTATCTGTAGCGAAAGGAGTTTTAGCTGTGCCAGGCCATTGGTGCTGTGTGGTAGGTAACATCTGCTGATCCCCACAATATTGGTCAGGCCTCTGGGAGAATTCCTTGTTCTTTTTCCAAATAGTGCTTTGTGACTTTTAACATCCACCAGATATAATAATAATAATCCTCGCATGACTTTGGGTCACCGTTTCCCCTGCAGATTGGCATCTCCAACAATGCACAAACTTCTTGTCACTACTGACACTGACAGTGATTACCTGCGGAGTACTTATAGACAATTTGACGTGATCAAGGCACTTTACAAAACGTAGCTTTACAAAACCTTGCATGAGTTCGAATCCTGGCATTAGGCTTGGATTTGCAACCTTCTGACAAAAAATTAAGAGAACTACCAATTGAGCCAGACTGACACTATCATCCTTTATTCTCCCTGAGTGTATATTGCACATCAGTAATTTGGTGAGAATAGATTGGCTAACTTCACTATTTCATGTGAAGAAGGGAATGTACAGCATCGGGAATTTCTGTGGAACATTAAGATTGATCTTGAAGGCATCCTGAAATACCTATGAAAAACATTGAAAAGTACTACTGAAACCCTTGACATTTGTTTTACGTCGAATCTATGGGGTTCATTGACACCTGAATCTGTTTCTAATATATTTTCTTGGCACACTGTCACTCTGCTTCAGGGTCTTACGTCAGAAACTGTGGATTGTCAGCTTGAAATACACTCCTAACAAACTGATGACCTGACCGCGCCTCCTGCAGGGGCAGTGCAACAGGCATTTTATTACCATAGTAACAGGGCACATAAATAACCTCACGTTCGGTAAAATTCCACTGACAGGTTCTGAAGTTTGAGAATCCTGCAATTGAACCCTTGGCACTAACATTCCTAGTGGTTTTTTTTAAATCCCTAAATGTACACAGGTAGCATGAAAAACACACTTTGATTCTCCAAGAGTCTTCTTTGGTTTTTTTCTGTGACAAATGGACCTTGACAGTAAGACGTACAGTGATAATTCTTCTAATAATAATAAAGAAATAATAGTTGCCATTACCATTCTAACTCAAAGCATTTTTGGATTAAGCTAAACATGCATTATTGAGAATATTCAAGCAAAAACTGCTAATTTCCTCTGGTCACATAGTGTCCCAGCTTAGTATCCAATACTATGTATGCCCATCAGCTCTCTCTTGCCTATACTAGTGATCCTCTCTCCTTATGAATGCTGTAGTGTCAGTCTTCTCTACACTACCTCAACTCACTTTGTTTTCCAGTGTTGCCAATAAGATAAATAAAATAACAAGACTAAGTCTGATGTGAAACATCAGAGGGAGAGAGTAAGTTGTTGCATCTTTGATTAAATCAAGTTCCTCTTTATCCTTGAATATTGCGTGTTTTCTGTAACTTGCCCTCTATCCATTATTAAATCATTTTGTTGGTTCAATATTTTTTTTTTCTGTTTTCTTTGCAGTACAGAATTGGACAGCTGTACATGATCAGCAAGCACAGCCATGAGCAGAGTGACAGAGGAGAAGGTGTGGAGGTGGTACAGAATGAACCTTATGAAGATCCCATTCACGGCAAAGGCCAGTACACAGAGAAGAGGGTTTACCTGAACAGGTAAATGCAGACAGCAATGCTGTAGATCAGAATAACTTTAAGATATGTAAATTAGAGTCCTAAAAAATCAATTTCTGTTTAGGTTTGGTACAAAAACTAAATTGGATTGGAGAGTGCATAATAATACGTTTTGTGCCTTATGATCCTTGTTTCTCCCACTCGACATTTGAAGCTTTCAGTCAAAGTCAAATCTATATTTTAAATGTGAGGAGTCAAGTACATGGTGCTAGTAAGAGACTGGAAATAAGAATTGAGAACTGGTGGGAATAGCTCTGACCACAGCTCCAGTCCAATCTCCTCTTCCACATGTTACGTACAATTCCGTGGGTTAAGTCGCAAATAGTGATCTCCTACTGTAGGAAACCTGCCAGCACAGCACTGTAAATGGCTACCTGTCAGTTTTTGAAGTTCGCTTACACCTTTACAAGCTCAGTGTCTACCTCCATTGTTGTCTCACTTGTCTTCGGATATAAAAAAAAGGTTTTTTTTTATTGATAAAGATAGTTTCTACACGTTCTTAATCTGGAACTAAATGCTCAGTGAGCTGAATGACCCTTCTTGTTCTATCTTCTTACATTCTATTTATAGAGTGTATTGAAAAGTTCAATCGGTTTCAGGCCATTTTTTTTTACTGGTGATTTATTTACTGGCGTGCACCAGATGAATGTCATACAGCATAGACAAAACCAGGAAGTTAAAGTGGGCAAGAAAAATATATTGAATCAGGCCTTAAATAAATACAGGCGCAGAATGAACCTGAACACTTTTTATCTCTTCTCTGAACTTGTATTAAAAAACAATGTTGTTTAATCCTGATGCGTCTACTACCTTTAGTTCCCCCATGTTAGATTGTCTGAGTTTGCTGTAAGCCTAAGGATGTTGACGTAGCAGGATGGCGGAGCTGCCCCAGATATATGGCACAGAGAGAGAGACTGTAATTCGTTTCAGGAAAACTGCTGATGCAGAAGGGAAAAAAAAAGGTCTCGCTGAGGGGAACTGACATTTCGAATGAATACAAAGCTTCTATATCTCTAACCTGCTGCTAAGAAAAGATAAAGCATCCCACCGATAAAATGTGATTGTGAAAGTGATACTTCCATTCCGGCAGTAGGACTTTACCCCTCAAGCAAGCATCATGCTCCAAATGTTGCACTGTTATAATTATCTTCATTGCATGCCATACATCTTTAGTATCGTCAGATTTAATTCAACAATAAAGTCGTCACCTGGAGAGTAACAGCAGGAGCAAAAGAGAATGCTAAAGTTGTTACTTTTTCCCTAGGCTAATAAGAGGCAGTATACTTTCATCTGAATTTCCTGCAGTTTTTTGCTCAATAACTACTTGCACTTATATAATGCCTTTCACATAGGATGAACATCTCAAAATGAAACTCGACAACATTCTGAGGCCTATTAGCAAAGTTCATTGCTGCTACAGTCACCTGCTCCCCCTTGCTTGACATCTATCATTGTAAAATGCTTCGACTCATTAACCTACATTATCGAGGAAGGAAGCAATGATTTAGATTTAGATTTCCTAGATTTAGTTCTAGGAAATGAAGTGGGGCAAGCGGAGCAGGTTTCAGTAGGAGAGCATCTGGATAACAGTGATCACAATATCATTAGGTTTGGAATAGTTAAGGAAAAGGACAACAATCAATCAAAGATAAAGACCCTCAACTGGAAGCGGGCTAATTTCAGTGAGCTAAAAAAGGACCTGGCCAAGATAGATTGAAAAGAAAGATTGGCAGGTAAGACAGCAAACGAACAATGGGAAGCCTTCAAGGAGGAGATAGTTCAGGGACTGAGCAAATACATTCCCACAGAGGGGAAAGGTAGGACAGTCAAACCTCCCTGGATGACTAAGGAAATTGGGATTAAAATAAAACAGCAAAGGGAGGCTTATGACAAATACCAGGCCCAAAATACACAGGATAATCAAATACAATATAGGAAGCACAAAGGAGAAGTGAAAAGGGAAATAAGATGGGTGAAGAGCTTGTTCGAGAAAAGATTAGCAGGAAACATAAAAGGGAACCCTAGGGTATTTTATAAGCATATCAAGAGTAAAGGGTTATTGGGTCCAATTAAGGACCCTAGTGGAAATCTTCTTGTTGAGGCATAGGGCAGGGCTGATGTACTAAATAAGTACTTTGCAACTGTCTTCACACAAGAAGACGATGCAACCAATGCCACAATATCGCAGGCGTGTGAACAGAAATTGGATATGATAAAAATCAACGGAAAGGAGGTATTAAAAAGGCTGTCAGTGCAAAACATAGATAAGTCACCTGGTCCGGATGGATGCATTCTAGGTTACTGAGGGAAGCAAGGGTGGAAATAGCGGAGGCTCTGGCCACAATCTTTCAATCCTCTTTGGACACTGGAGTGGTGCCAGAGGACTGGAAGTTTGCAAATGTTACTCACCTGTTCAAAAAGAGGCAGAAAGATAAACCTGAGAACTATAGGCCAATCAGCCTAACATCAGTAGTAGGGAAACTTCTGGAGACTATAATCCGGGACAATATAAATTCTTACTTAGAAAAATATGGTTTAATAAAGGACAGTCAACACGGATTTGTTAAAGGCAGATCGTGTCGGACAAACCGAATAGAATTTTTTGATGAAGAGACTGAGTGATGAAGGTAATGCAGTAGATGTAGTTTATCTAGATTTTCAAAAGGCATTTGACAAAGACATAAGAGACATATAAACAAAATAGAAGCCCACGGTATTAAAGGGACTGTGAAACATGGATCCAGAACTTGTTAGGAGACAGAAAGCAGAGAGTGGTAGTAAACGGTTGCTTTTCTGACTGGAGCGAGGTGTGTAGTGGTGTCCCTCAGGGGTCGGTATTGGGACCATTGCTCTTTCTGATCTACATCAATGATCTGGACCTGGATATAGGGAGAACAATTTCCAAATTTGCAGACAATACTAAGCTAGGAAAAGTAGCAGATGAGGTTTAATGTGGAAAAATGCGAAGTGTTGCATTTTGGTAGGAAGAATGAGGAGAGGCAGTATACGCTAGATGGCACAATCTTAAACGGGGCAAATGAACAGAGAGACCTGAGGGTCCACATAAGCAAATCTCTGAAGGTGGCAGGACAGGAAGATAAAGCTGTTAAAAAAACATACGGGATACTAGGTTTTATAAATAGGGGCATAGAATTCAAAAGTCAGGAGGTTATGTTGAATATTTATAAAATGCTGGTTAGGCCTCAGTTGGAGACTGCGTTCAGTTCTGGGCACCGCACTTTAGGAAAGATGTTAGGGCATTGGAGAGGGGGAAAGGAGGTTCACCAGGATGGTGCCAGGAATGAAGGATCTTAGTTATGAGGAGAGGTTAGCGAAACTAGGATTATTCTCCCTCGAGCAGAGAAGATTAAGAGGGGATTTAATAGAGCTTTTCAAGATCTTGAGAGGATTTGATAGGTTGAACTGGGAAAAACTGTTTCCCCTGTCATGTGGGTCAGTAACCCGAGGACACCGATTTAAGTTAGTTGTTAAAAGAAACAGGGGGGAGCTTAGGAAAAAATTTTCACCCAGCGAGTTGTTCGGATCTGGAATGCATTACCTGAAAGGGTAGTGGAAGCTAATTCAATAACAACTTTTAAGAGAGAAGTAGATGGGTATTTGGGGAGGACAAGATTACAGGGCTATGGAGAGAAACCAGGCCAGCGGGATTGAGTTGGATTGCTCTTTTCGGAGCCAGCGCAGACACGAAGGGCCAAGTGGCCTCTTTCTGTGCTGTATGTTTCTATGATTCAATGATTCTACCTGAAGGATGCTATATAAATGCACAATTCCAGCATTGACTGGTACATCCTTAACAGAGCAAAACGGATCCTCTTGGGTGCTCTATACTTGAGATTCAGCTCAGAATTTATGCTGTTACAGACATATATTTGATGCAAAATCCTTGTGTAACGAGAGTTAAGAATTATTATATAACTCCTGCGAGGTACAGCAGGGCCATCACCAACTCTCAGGAAAACATGGAGAAGCATTAATGCTCTGTGATAGTCTGTCAAAGAGTGAGCAACATCAGGGAGTTGATGCAGATTTTTAGCTGAAATGTTCTGTTACTCAATTGTTGCGTTTTTTGACTATTTCCTCTATTTTAATACGTCTTTTAGATACGCTAAATATTTCCTATTATCCGAATGAGTGAGAGATTTGCATTGCCTTTCTCTGTCCATCTGGTTTTGTAGCTGACCACTAATTATTTCTAGGTAGCAAAAAGATTACTAGCAAACCGGCAAATTCTTTTTTATCTGTTTATCAGAGCAGGAGACCAACTAGCTGGCTATTTAAATTAAAATTTCCAGATTATTGCTATATACAACGCCATTGGAAAATAAAGTTGTATCACAAAGTTAAAGTTTAATTAACACTTTCAATAAATAGCACACCTATTCAGATTTGACAGTGGTTTGGCCAACATCTCTGTACCATAGAGGCTAAGTGGGGACTTAAAGGACTTCTGCAAAGCTTTTAATTTATGATGTATTGTAGGACCACACATTTGAAGGTCAAGACATATTTTTGATATGAGTGTGAATTAGTTGCTACTCCTGGATTTCTCTCCGTCAGCAATGTTACCATGACTTATAGCTCTGGTGAAGACGAAAAAATAAGACTGACAAATTGCACTTTCTTTAGACTGGCATATAAAAATGCAAAATGTAGACCATCCATCACCTAAATCCCCTTGAGATTCCTAAACATTGTTTGTTACAGATTACAAGTAACGGTAGCGCTTTGGGCTCCTCCTTACTCATATTTTGCAGATTAGAGTGACTGATCTGGATTTGTTCAGTGAAAGTAACAATCATCAAAAAAAATTGCATTACAATGTGATTAACTCTGTCTTTTAAAATCTGCATTTTATCAGTCCACCCCCTTTACAACTTGAATTCTGTATAAATATCAGCAGGCATAGAATTTCACTTAATATCTGCTAGTGTAATTGTAGCTGCAGAAGCAGCAGAATCAGGACTCATGGGAAGAAACTGTCTTTGTTCAGATTTCTGTAACGATTCTTTGTCATTTTACTGTATTTAATTTCTCTACTTTCCAGTCTTACCCAGACTGTCTGGGAGATGTTTTCTATGAGATTCAGGAGGGAGGCAAGACCGCAGGACAACTCCAACCACAGTCCCCTCACCAGCTTTGAGCTCTTAACATTGACCTACAAAAGCTTTCTTTTCTATTTTTCAATAACAAAACAGTGCAGGAGGAAGCAGTGGAACAAGGATAAGTTTTTAAAAATTAATATCATTTCTAAAAGCAGATAATTTTCGTTGTTTACATCAAAACATAAGATGTAATTTCTCCCCCCCTCCCTCCTTTTTTGTTGTATTATTTATATTGGTGTAATTTGGAGCTTTGAGATTGATAACTCTTATATAAGGGCACAATGTGGAGGTAGAGGAGTGGGATAGAAAAACAGCTGAAACCATGTGCACAAGATCTACTGGAAACAGATGACAATGCACCTGAGCTGCAGCGCTGTGAGATTCACCCCAGTGGAAATAAAACATCGCTGACAGAAAAATAACCCTTCAGGGCTCAGAACTTTGTCTGCCACAAACAAACATACTTCAACCTGAACAGTATCACTCGCCATTGAACATGTAGCTTGTTTATCAGCAATTACATGTCGGAGAAAACATTGGGTTGAACGAGCATAAAGGCATATTGAGAGATTTGACTTATCAACATGATTAAATGCTGTGATTTAATTACAGCCTTGAAGGAAGTTCCATCTGGTGGTGTTTTCTTTGTAATGATTTTTCTGCTTGATTAATTTGGGGGTTCAAAGAGCACCTATGCAGAACTTCCTCCAGGGAGGATGAAGTAAGTTTCTTATGTTCCCTAGGTGTTGTGAATGGCACTGTTGATATTGCCCTTCTGATCAGTTTGTCAGTTGGCCCCCAGTGCACCATTGAATATTTCATCATCCAGCTGGTATAGAGCCAGTAAAAGAATTGTCAAACTGATGCATTCTAAATGTATTGATCATGAATAATAATGTAGAAAACTAGGCAGCATTCCCACTGCACTATGTCCTCGATTAAAAGAAGCACAAATTATAATTTGTAATACAAGTTCAGGAAGTTGAAAAGAAACGGATTTAGTTATTGACTCAATTTGATTTCTGTCTTGCACATGTATTGAAGTCCAACTTCATTAGGTTTCCGTGTAGGATGTATTTAACTTTGCTGATCCGTCTGCTGAGACAGGCGTGCTTTTATCTCATTCTTGTTGCCATTTGCTTCACAACTGCCAATTACAGCATGGAGGGCAGATCATTTCCTTTTAAATTGATGTGAATCCCATTCTTCGTCTATAAGCAGCAGGAGTTTGCTAATGACCATTTAGTGCTATCTAACACATGAGATAGATCCTCAGTGAGGCCTGCAGAGAACCTGGTTTCTTTATCTTAATATCATCTTCAGTTTATATTATTGGTTGATTTAACTTCAGCTCATTTCAGCTGAGAATTTTTTTATATAGAGGTTTGTGATGGTACCCAATGCTGGTATTTTTACAAATTTTCTATTCAGCATTCATCTATCAAAATACAGATTATCCATGTTTTATATATATATTCAGGTGCAGATTATTTGTTATATATATATATTGTCAGTACTAATGATTTGAAAGCTTTTTTTTAATGTTCAGTTCTTATAATAAATTCTGCCTGTATTTCCTTTTTGCATTGTAATTATCATGGTTTATTTACAGCAAGCTTCCGAGTTGGGCTAGAGCAGTGGTTCCAAGGATCTTTTATGTCACAGAAAAGGCGTGGAATTATTATCCGTACACAATCACAGGTAAGGTTCGTGACTGTTATTTTAGAGACTGTTCGCAGTAGCAAGATATTCTCTTTAAAGGGGAACGGAGCAGGGTAGCTCGAATTACAAATCATTTTCAAGTTACATCAACAAAGCATTTTCACACGAAGGAATGGTGACATCTTTTTGCCTTGGGGAGTGTTAAAGTTTACGAAGTCTTTCAGAACCAGGCCACGAGAACCAGAACCATGAGATTGCTTCAGGTTTTTTTCCAAACAATCCAAAATAAATGTGTTTGCCGGGTCAACAATTAAATAAGCTCAGTCAGGAATAAGAGCACAAAGTAAAGGACAGAAAAAATTAGAGCCATGAATCGAACCTTGCAGGTAAAAGCTAAGTTCAAACGTTGATTTGAAATTTGTGAAGATGATTCATGACTCCCCTTTGTTGTCCTGATGCACTGTTTAACTGAAGTTTACGAACTTTGTGAGTCACTTCCTGTTTCCTTTCAAATGTCACAAGTAAAAATTATGAGAATTGGGCCGTTTATTAAAAAAAATTCTTGATCTTGAGCCAAGCAGATTTCAAAGGCTCTTGTTGTTTGTAGATCTGAATGCTCGACCATTTCCTGACGCTACTTAGTTCAAACAAAGTTTAAGCATGCCACGTGCCTCATTGCCTCCTGAAAAAAGGATGAGGTTTTAATCTGACTCCTGGCTGCCTGTTTGCACATAGGTGCCAAAGCAATGTGATCGCTTGAGCCACGTGTAAGTAGATCAGCTACGGAGCTCGGCTTCTTAATAACCTTCACTAAACACCAAGTTCCTCACATCTATGACAACAAGCAATCTCAATTTTACACATAATAACCGGTTTACTGTGGCTGGGGCCGCAGTTCTGTAGGGGGACAACTGCTTCACTCATCTTTCTACAGTGAGCGAATCAATCACTCAGCCTAACACAGACAAAACCATTGCCATCAACCCCTCTAAGCGTTTATATTGTCAGGGGAGACAGCTCTCAGCCTGTGTCACTCTCAAACCGTCCCTAGGATTGGCCCTAGGATGACTCCCCTTCTGATTTTATTTTTCTCCTCTCTCCCAATGAGACGGCCCCTGGTGTTTGCTAATTGCCTCCTCTGAGGGTTGCAAAAGAGAATTTGTTATGTTGGGATTGAGGTCAGTAACTACAGAGCCTGCCCTTGTGTACCAGTGTTCTGCATCACACTGCTGTCCCTGAGTTGATTTTGTTTTTTAAACAAAACATGGAGATAGATTCATTACTGAGATACGGTTCTAATGTATGTACATCGTTAGTAGCTTCCCTACAAAGTAAATTCTTTGATTGTCCCTCGGTAATTTCATCCAATTAGTTAATCTGAAATTCTATTTGGTTGTATCAGTACATGTTGACTCGATGCCTTTGAAATTTAGATTTAATCTTTTCTTTTATAGCCAGCAGCATATTCAAATCTATCTTGTTACATCGGAGGTTTACAAATAATCGTGGGTACTGAATATTACACACAAGGATCTGAGAGTTGGCAAGTGCAGTCGCCTTAATCACTGGGATATGTGATTTTGTTAATCACGCACTTAACATTTATAATGTCTTCATAGCAATGCAAAATCTATCTGGGGACTGAATGACGAGGGAGCGAGAAGATCTGAAGTGCAGTCAGTTTGAGGGGGTGGGGAGAAGATGTACTTGACAAGCCAGGCAGAAGATACTGGAAAGTGTTCCGGTAGGGGTCTTAGGAAAGAGACCCACTGGGCAGGATCTTGTGATGAGAGAAGATATCAGGAAGGATTGTGAAGGGAAGATACTCGCCATTGTCATGAATGACACAATGGAGAGAGAGATAAACCAGGCAAGTTTGTGACTTGTTTGGGGACAGGAATAGGTGGGTTGCCACGTGTACAGCAATGACTTTCATTGGAAATTCTTGTTATGAGTAAATTGTGTAATTCGAGATCTATGCTGAAACCCAGCTGGAGGAATGAAATGAAAGCCAATCACAAGAAAATTGAACTCTTATATTCTTGGTTTAATGGACATGAAACTACAATGCAGAACTTCCAAATGAAATGTCTCATTGTTGTGCAGGATATGGGATAACAGTGTATGCAAACTAAAAATTCACCCAGTATTAGCAGTGATGACAATATCGAGCTAGCTGTACAGAGTTTCAAAGGGTTTCCCTGTACATTGCCTCCATAGTTACCTCACTCGCCATTTTGCTGATGGTTGGCATATCAGAACCCGACACTTAATGCTCCTGTGTCTCAGATCAAGGTTAGCAAAATGTAGCTAGTTGGCATTGCGATCATCACAGAAAGAACATGTATTTGTGCAAGACAAGGGCGAGGGGAAGTGAAATGAAACCCAGATGGCTGAAAGAACCATAATATAAGTACCTGTGCTCGAATTTGACTTATTTTTTTAAAGAATTAGTTTCCTCATTTGATCTGTCTTAAACAGAATGTTTCAAGGAGAGATAATGTTAACGCGACTGTATCCCAGTTCGTTGCTGACATTTTAAAAGATATTTCTGTTCAGCGAGGGTGAGTCTACAGTGGAATGCTTTCCACGAAAAGGACTTCCAGCAACTAGTCATCACAGAAAATCTCTTCGGATAAATTAGACTCTGGTCTCCTTGCAGCTCCACAGAGACCCTCATATCAGGTCGTGAACTCGGCAGTGAGATGCTTAGCTTTGCCTCTATCAGTAGAGGAGGCCAAATCATGGAATCACCAAATAAAATGAAATCAGTGCTAATTGACCTCCCTTTTGACCTAGACTCTGATCAGCAAGGCACTTATTACTGTAATTTATTAGAGGATAGTTTATTGGTGATGAACTTCTTGTTCAAAATACTGCTCCAAACTCTACGCTCTCTATGAGCCAGTGAATGTTGACAAGCCACATGGGTGCATCACAGCTGAGACTAATTTAATTCTCAGCCGATGTTCATCCATGCAGACTTTCCAATGGGAGTTGGGGCGGTTCTGGATGATGATCAGAAGCAAGCATCCTGGCTGATTTCTCCTATCTAAAAAAAGTCGCGTTGAGGCCAATTTTAGCAGCCTGGCTAAGATTGTTTAACTCAGTCATTTTATCAGTCTCTGTTGAACTGAATTTCTATTTTGATGATTGAAGTAGGCTCATTGCCACATCAGAAATCAACTGAGTAAAACTAATTTGAAGAATTATGAACCTTTTGTTCCTCACATTAAATGTTTGGCTAGTCTTAATTGCATCGTGAACGACAATTTTGACCCATAAGGCTGATGGTAATCACAGAGTCTGGTAGCTGATCGTACTTGTTCAGATGGTAGCTTTTCAATAGTTTTGTTTACCTCCTTAAGTATTGGTTGTGAACATTACTTCCCAGCTGCCTGTATTTACTGCATATCTTTCTCTTTCCTTTTATGTACTTCTTTCTTGGTCGGGACATGATACAGAATATACAGTGAGTACCTCAAACCCTATCTTAGTTTTCTTTGGCTACTGAATAATAAACTGTAAATATGAATACTTAAAATTGATAAGCATGGGAGCGCCCCTTAAATAATCAACTTCTTCTTTAAAATATGAGACTCAAACAAAAATGAGGTGACGCGTGTAATTTATTCAAATGCTTGAAGATCTGTGTGGTCATGTCTGAGATCATCTTTTTCCTCGAGAAATGAAAATGCCGAAAAAAAGCTGTGAATGTAATAATGGCAATAAATGACATGGGCATTGTATTTCTGAGGACTCAAACTCACTGTGTGTTTGATATTTTTCCACTCATATAATATCCTCTGATAATACGAGAGGAACAAAGCCAGAAGGTTTCAGTCTGAGCAGTTTTGTTTTGCCTTCTGTATATTGAATTATTGTACACCAGATTCCTTTGGAAACAAATCAATGCAATTAAGTTTCGTAATCACAGATTTAGTTTATGGTAGGTTTTGTGAGAAGCATGTGGCTAAATTCAATCTCGCTTAATTTATCTTATCCCATCCTCATGAACTTAAATCTCATTTTGGGCTCTCCAGCTGAGTGCTCAATGATGTATTTCTGACACGGTCTGTTAGTCTTAGAAAATCATTGAATCTATATTAGATTTTCTTAGAACTTCCATCCACTTAACCTACAAAGTGGAGCACAATCCTGTAACCAGGGGTTCAAACAGGGACTGTTAATAGCGAAATGTAAATTCTGCCAAATCAGAAATAAGTGGAGTGAGTATCTGCTTCCCAAGCGGTACAATATAGATAGACATTTTGACTTACACCAACATTCTCAATTCTTCACAGTGAAAGTATAGCAACAACAACTTGCATTCGTATAGCTCCCTTCATGCGGGTAGAGTCTCAGAACACTTAAAGTATATGCAGGGTGACCAAAAAGTTGTGATACCATTACAATGTCTAATAAGTCTTAAATAAATGGTAATATTTTGGGGGCGTTTTAGATAATAGGGTAGGTATCGCAACTTTTTGGTCACCCTGATTATTTTTAGTTTTTGCTTTTATGTGAAATGTGATTGATATTTACTCTCGCCCACTGTATCTACCTCATGCCGTGCATCATTTTGGTCTGTCAGCTCACTTGCTCCCAGCCTCCTGCCAATGTTATTCAGAGACCTGCCATGAGCAGATGTAAAAAGAAACAGGAAATTTTCTCTGCTCTACCCTGACAGGCCTGAAATTTCTTCTGAAATATATCCTGAAGATACTGAGCCAATGGTTTCATCCGCCAACAATCAAATGTCTGGCGGGTCGGCAAAGATAAACCAACACTCTCACACTATACCTGCAAAACAACACATCTAATTTGGAAATGTTATTAGGTGATTAGATAGATGTGTCGAGGAATATTTTAGGATTTTCAATGGGTAAACTAGATAGACTATTCCAGAAACTGTTTCCATGCAACAGTGTTGGCCGGAAAAATACATTCGCCTCTGCTTTATAGTAAATCCTCCTCCAAAGTGCTTTGAGCTGTCCTCCTGATGTGAAGGGTGCTATATCATTTGCAAGGATTATTATTATATATTATTATTGTGAAACTGCATTGGTTTCACACTACAAATAGAAGTGTGTGATGCCTTTCCCTCCCACCATCATTCTCCGGTTGTCAGTAAATGTACCGAACCTGATTCATGAGGAGCCTTGGTCCCTTCACTGAAAGTGGTGCCAGGTCACTTTGCAAAAGTGGTGTAAAACTTATTCCCAGAAACTCATTTTATTCACTTTCTGACCATAAACTTTTCACTGCAGCCTAACATTCCGAACGACATGTTGCGTTGCTGTTAAATGGAATAAATGATCCCAGCGTCAACGTTCTACCCGGATCAGGAATTCTCTAGGCAAAATATCCAAACAATTTAAATTTTAAAAAAATCTCTTCCCTGTTTAGAATATTTTCCGAGATGAAACAACTTGATTGCAAAGCAAAACTTTAAGCAATTTAAGCATGTATAAAAACAATGAGAACACGTTTGTGTGACTTCAGCCTCTGTGTCCAACGATCGGTAATATAGGACTTGTTGGCTGTCAATTTGCAATGATTTTTCCACTCTTTTAAGATGCTAATCTCAGCTGGTCGTTAGGGAGGCGAGCTGCTTCCCAGCAGGAAGAAAGGGGAAATTGATAGGTGGGTCACCACAGACTGTGCTTATATATCACCTAACAGCTGGAATCAGAGAATCTTTATTTTGGGGGCCATTTGAACTTGCTTTTCATGTTGCTGTAATGAAGCTTAGATCTACGTTAAATTACACTTGTATCATGCTGACACTGCTAGTGGTTTGAAAAGGACCTGAATTACTTGCTTATGAGAACATAAATGATGGAACAAAGCTTCTTGATGCACTATGAAATTTAGCTTACAGTTTCCCTCTAGCTATGAAGCTAAATGTTGCTCTTGTTTAAAGGAAAGCCAAGTCCAGGCAGAGTATTTTCTATTCAAAGCACTCCCCTAGCTATATAAAAAAAGAAATAGTTATGAATGTATATGTACTGTTTGTGAGATATCTGCATTCAGAGGATCCAAGGGACCCATCGGTTCCACTGTGAGACCACTGAGGTGATGCTGTAAGCAGCGGTGGAAGCAATTGCACCCCAGTGTGATGATTTTTAACAGGGAAGGGACTTTGGACCAGCCTGGGTGCTTTCAAAATATGTAATACATGCAGAAGCATTACTGAAATAGAAACCGATGAGCACTAATTTAAATAGAATTAAATTTAGAGTTTACAGAGAGGACATTATTGCACTGACATATGAACATAATAGATAACGGGAGGAGACTTGTGATTAAATATTGCCCACAACCTTTGGCATTACCAAACAGTATTGCATATTGTCAGAATGAAAATAGATCTGCTGGAAGTTCAATGATGCTTTCATGTTTGGAAGAAACGTGTCTGTTCTCACTGGTGCTAATCAAAGAGCCCCAGGTCAGGAGGTCGGGTCAGCAACTTTTAACAAATGAAGTTTGGCTAGAAATCAGATTTTTGATTTTTTTCCATGTTGTTACCCTCCACCATTACTGTTTTTTGGGTCATGCTTCGCACTGTTTTTAATGAATTTGGGTCAGTTTTCATCAGAAAGAACTTGCGGAATATTTTGCTTGATACGGTAACATTTGAGAACCATATTTAAAAGCACGGTTACTTGATGTTCAATGCACTAGTGGGCTAAATGATTCGTTATACTCCTGTTTCCCTCTGTCTGGGGAACAACCAATGTTTGGTCCAAACTTTAAAATTCAGGCCTGAACCAAGCGAGAACAACGAAGGGAACAGTTGTTTCTGGATGTGTCGCCTTGAAAAAGGACAGGTTGAGGAAACCTAGCAAAAGCTATGAGAATCCAGAAATTTCATTTTTATTTATTGACCACACATTTAGGGTGACTTCATGTTCACTAAAAGCCAGTTGATTGAATATTTATGTTTACAACCACCGGGATTCATTTCCATCTGATTTACACGTCGAAAGAGGTTGACTGACACAACCATCCCAGCAATATTTGTGAGTCGGAGCAAAATTCAATCTCTCAACAACTGTGATTTAATATGCAGAGCACTTGTCTGTAGTTTGCAGCACTAATTAATTTTGATCATTTCATAGTTGCAGTCCAAACAAGTCTCAAAGTGGATGTTCTCCACTCCCTCGCTGCATTGAAGTGATTATCAGCTGCATTTTGTTACCAAGTGATGTCACCATCATTAATGGTACAACATATGTGGAAATTGTAAATGTTAACCTAAGAGCAGAGGTTATTTAATTGGAGGATTAGCAATCTCTCCAAAGATGTTAATAGCTTCTGTCGGGCAGGAGGAAACATCCATTTCAAATTAGTTTTTATTTAATGTGCTGATGAAATGATTATAAAATATGAATTAGTGCCAGGAACTAAATACCAGAGGAGTGCTCTGTGTATTAAATAGAAGCTGCTTTTGATTTGCTGGAGTTTTCTGTGGAGCTAGGCCTTGCATTATGTCCTTTTTAAGAAGAACAGAAAATAGCTAGAACACGTTACAGCTTTATTATCATTCGCACTTTAGAAACTGTTGTCCTGCATATCCTTAGTAATAACCAATGTAATATAAAGGAAGTAGGAAAATATTGTGGGCTGAAAAATAGCCTGCGTTAGACAAGCATTAAAGAATGAGAAGTCTGCAAATCTCTGTAATCCTACTACCATCTGGTACTGCAAAACTAAAGTGTTTAGCTACAGGAACAAACTGGTGGGTACACTCTATTAGTTATATTCATCAACAACATATATCCTTTGTGTAAAGTGATTCTTTTTAACCACAAAACATGTGTGGCAGAACCACTCTGTTAGATGGGTTGGAATACATTGGCATCAATTCAAGCCAATAACCTATTTGCAACAATCGAGGATTTAAATAACGGCAAGTTTAAAGTAATTATTTCATCTAATTTTTGTGCAGGGGCTATTTTCACTAATGATTGTAGTATTAATAGTAATAATTTCATAGGAATTTCATAACCCACACAGAATAGGTTCAGTCGGTTTTTAATCTACAGTTAAAACATCTGGCAAGCCTGGAGGCCCTGGTATTTGATTGAATATACCTTAAACCCTCCATCACATGATTGGTAATCCCTATCATTTTCAAATCACAGCAGAAAATCTCCACGTCAAGCACGCAGACCGCACCACAACAATTTTAATAAAGGAAAATTCACCAATGTGTGTATTACTGGTGATAACGCAGACCTCAAAATGATTTCCAGCTGCCAATCCATCATCTGAGTCAAGGTGACTTGATTTATGACGTCACCTGAACCCTTCAATTACATTGTAAATTACCTCAAGATGTAACTAATTTCCCTTGTATTGTATATGATAGATGTGGGACAGCCTTGAAATGACCTACAGATTATTTCACAGTAAAACCTGGAGTGGGGATGTCACAGACATGTTGGCACCTTTTTATGAACATCA